ATTTTACTATTTTCAAAGTTTTACAGAAGCATGCTTCAAGTTTTCTGCAGCAAGTTGTCGTCATAATAATGTTCATTAGTATTTTGCTCTGCCAAAGTCAAAGTTAAAATCAAATAGTCATTTATTCCATAGGTAAAATTTTTACACTTGAAAACGTCATTTTTAAGCTACTGCTCGTTCACTACGCTGACCTCCCTGAGAAGAACGAGCAAGAAACTCTGGGGATTGCCTTTTCAAATAAACTTAAAGGCTATGGAATACACTTTGAATCATAATTGTTTGGAATCTGGACTCTTGTTGGCTTTCCATACTTCTTTATCTAAAACATACTCTTCAATTTTGTAATACGACTTTTCAATTAAAATACTTTTATTGTAAGATTTAAACTTAGGTAATGATAAATGTAATATATTCTCCGAAATTTTATTGTAAAAGCGTTGTTTACCTTGGTTAAACGAAATCGTGGTACCATGAGTTTGGACTTAGTTCTAAGGTTAATATTATGGATATCTTCTTTCTTAATGAAATTAGTATATTTTTGCGGGCATACAAAATATTTGAGTGAATGTACTGTGATGCCACGGTCTTGATACCAGTCTCCTTAAACTTTTCTCTGAGAGTAATCCGAGAACCTAAACGGTACACAGAACGAATTGCTCGTTTTTGCAACACAATTATGGTTTGTATATCTGCCGCTTTACCCCACATAAGAATCCCGTAGGACATTATACTAGGGAAGTAACTAAAGTAAACTAGTCTAGCAGTAGCAACATCGGTAAGCTCACGTATTCTACGAACTGCGTATGCAGCAGAGCTTAATCTGCTGGCCAAAGAAGATATATGTGGAATTGAAGTTTACTATCTAAGGTCACTCCCAAAAAAAAGACAGTTTTATTAACAAGGTCTTTTTCTCCATTTACTTCTATGATTGGACTTGTCGATTTTGCATTAGGTAATTCAAATTTAACACACTTGGTCTTCTTGGCATTGAGCAATTAATTGTTAGCATTAAACCAATAAACTATCTTTGAGAGGGTATCGTTAATATTGTCATAGTTAACGTCATGTCCGTCTGTTTTAAAAATCAAGGATGTGTCATCAGCAAACAACACTATTTCGCAATGGTCCTTAACAAAGAATGGTAGATCATTAATGTAAATGAGAAATAAAACAGGTCCAAGTATAGAGCCCTGCGGAACGCCCATTTGTACCGGAGAACCCAAAGAAATCACTTCATCACTCTTAAACTATTAAAGCTTTTAGGAAAGAAAGAGCAAAATCAATGTTTGTTAATATTTATTCTAGTCTCGAGTAAGAGAAGATACAATAGTAACAGAGTCATATGGACAAACAGAAACAGTCGCGGTATGTATATCCACAAAGCCCGATACTCCGATTGGCAGTTGCGGCTCGCCAGTTCCTGGATGCTTAATTAAAGTACGTACCACAAAATGAGATGAAAATATTTACATTTTACTCGCAAAATTATAACATTTAAAAGCGGATTGCTGACGAAATTCAATTGATATTAATTTTTGCATTTGTTAAAGTTAGTGCATCCAGATACTGATGAAGAAATACAGGAACCTTACCAGTCTGGTGAATTACTGTACAAAGGTCATCTATTCACGGTACGTACGTTATTTTCAGTTATAATAATAAAAATAATAATAACTTTATTTACTCACACAAAGGCAATGGTAAATAATACATTATTAGCAAAAAAAAAACCAAAAAACATTTAGGAACCTTTGTGAGAGTCAGGAGTTTGTACTAGAATTCCCTGTATGACGAGTTAAAACAGTTTGTATGAAATTATATTTTTCTGATGGAAAGATTTTACCTACCGTCCTTTCTATAGATACCATAACACAGAACTGGTTAATTCCTTGGTTAAGTCCTTTTATATGGCAGTGAAACTTGGCCCGTACTTGAGCGTCATAAGCAGGAGCTGCGTGTTACGGAAATGATGATGCTGCGCTGGATGTGTGGAGTTTCACGGAAAGACCGTGTCAAAAACTCCCGCATCCGCGGCACCCTTCACGTCCGTGACATTGCAGATAAACTGCTAGAAAGCCGCCTACGTTGGTACGGCCACATCTTACGGAAACCGGCATGCTACGTGGGAAACAAATGTCTGGCTATGCCACCTCCGCCGGGCCCCGGTAGAAGGGGCAGACCCAAGAAGTGCTGGCTTGACGTCGCCAAGGGTGATATGCGTGCCAATGGTCTCGCCACTAAGGATGCCGAAGACCGTGCAAAGTGGAGGAGAAAAAGCAGGAAAGCGGACCCCGGGCTCCGCAGCAACACTGCTGAGGACGCAACCGCGACAACGCTCAGATGACAGAGAGAGAGAGAGAGAGAGAGAGAACTGGTTAATTCCGGATTAAAAGTTAGGGAAAATTAGCATAACCATGATCCTAAAGCCAACACCGCATTTGCGATATTTCCTTAGCGCTGCTATTATCGATTTTCATTAGGTACACTTACAAAAGGTCAAAACTCACGAACGGTTAATCTGGATGTAATGGATTAACAATCAAATTCAAAGAAAAGTCCAAAAGACAGACTCATTTATTTTCACAATGTTGTGACAAAGACGGAGAAAGGGATGTTAGGTGGTTCGAGCATGAAGAAAGAATGAACGAAAGAATATTAATAACAAATTCAGAGGGCAAGTATGAGCAGGCAAGTTGGTAAGGTCAGATGAAGGCCAATTTGCCACAATCAAATTGAAGGCATCCTTAACCTCAACCGACGAGCATGAATGAAAGCATTGATGAGTGTTGATGAGGGGAAGGATATGTATAAGGATCGTGGCAAGTGGAAGGCTGTGCTTTCTGTCAACTCCAATGGGACAAGGTCGCGCAGTGTATGTAAAACGTATTCAACGAAAATATTATGTTCCAGGAATACTACAACGATCCTGAAAAAACGGCAAAAGCTTTCACCCCCGACGGATGGTTTCGAACCGGTGACATGCTTTACAGAGACGAGAAAGACAACTATTATTTCGTGGAACGTCTCAAGATGCTCATCAAATGGAGAGTGTATCATGTGAGAGAATGTTCCTATAACGATGTAAACAATGCTACATCTGAAGTAGTAGATTGGTTTGCAGTTAATAACCTGCTCCTTAATGAGAAAAAGAACTATTGTGTGAAATTTACATTATACCCAATGTTAGGCAGACGGACACAAACATTATAGTTAGACACGAGAAATTGTACCTTGCAGATCCAGTTGTATTTCTAGGTATAACTTTAGATGCTAAATGAGTTCTAATAACATTTCGAGCTACCCTAATTACATAAAATTACAAAAATGGCGTTTACAATGTAATATTTCTCAAGTACGGAATTGCAATTGGGTCCACATATGAGTAAGTTATCAAAATCTGCAGTGTACGGGATTAAAAAAATTCGAAAACTTTCAAACGTGGCAACATTTAGATTGGTTTATTTTTATACATAAATACATTTTCTAAAACATTTCTTATTCCTACTTAGGTCGTTCCAGGTGAAATTGAAGAGGTGATTGTTAGGCACCCTGGCGTTTTGGAAGTGTGCGTGACCAGCCTTGAACATGCAATGGACGGCGAGTGGCCAGTCGCTTGCGTCGTGCGTCGCCCAGGCAGTACCGTTACCGCTCAAGAGATCGAAACGCTTGTTACTGGTATTTATATGAAAGATCTAATTGTAATCCATCATCATTAACTTCTACTCAATATTATACATGCCACTGCTGGGTTGCACAAAATTTCTTACTTAATTACGCCAAAGCAAAAATATGGTTGAGCTTTTTGCCTTTTACTGCTGCTCCTCTAAGGAGAGGATTTAGGCTACAATCCGCCATGGTGGTCCGAATGCGGGTTGAGATCTTCACGCGTTTTCCAAGGGCCTTTCTTCACCCCTAGTCCAGAGGTGTTACTAGCAAACGTTCACAGCCATTTCGTAGCAGAGTTCCCTGTGAAAGTGCTCATCCAGGGAACTGCCACCTTCCCTATTTCTGCCGCCAAGCAGTGAGCATAACCGCGTTCTGATTTTGAAGGGTAAGGGCGCGTTCCCACTGTGTGGTGACAACAGATTGTCGTGAAGTTTACAGTGTCGTGGCTTGTATATTTAAATGAAGTTGTTCACATATAGCACGACACGATTAACTGTCGTTCACGATTTTTTATCGTTACAACGACAAACTGTCATCACAGTGGGAACAGCTAGAACGACAGTCGTCGGACGATAAAAACGTCACGATAAAAACGTGACGACAGATTGTCGCAGCTCCTATTGTCGTC